GGAGGAGGAGGAGGAGGAGGAGGAGGAGGAGGAGGAGGAGGTACTTTTATGTATAAAAAGGCAATCTCTATACCCTTGTCATGAATTATTTAGTGAAGGAAAATATTAAAGAGAAATGGTCACATAACTGTCTTGATGAGCCATTTCAACAGATTCTCTGTTCAATAGATTCTCCCCCAGGGTCCTTCCTAGTTAGGATTTCTTCAGACGGAAGAATAAAACGAGACACCGGGGTAACAGTGCTAACAAAGGTTGCCCTTAACCTGGTTATCTAGGTGTGGACAGAGTTCCCAGAACCACTCCTCTGGAAGTTGGCCATTAGCATATATCAGTCCCCTACAAGGCTGGCAGTTTGGAAGCCACCCCAAGGCCGAGGTTTGTGACCCAGCCTCAGCCCTGGAGACAGGGCCGTTATGGTTTGTGTCTAGTTGTCCCCCAAAAGCCTCATGCAGTCATGGGGTAGACTTCTAGAGGCTGTGATTAATTTATGATGCAATGCTGGGATTATGAGTCTGGGTGCTGCTGGGATTATGGGTATGAGCGCTACACCCACCCTGGGGCAGATAGCCTGGATGCCATATATTATGGGTGTGTCTAGTTGCCCCTCCAAAGCCTCATGCAGTCACAGGGCAGCTTCTGGAGTTTCTGACTGTTGATCCAATGCCGGGATTGCAGGTGTGAGTGCTACACCCTGACCCTGGGGTGGATCATCTGCCTTACAATGTAAGGAGGGGACAGGTAAGGCCAGGGAGATAGCTCAGTAGAATAAGCGCTTGCCTGGCAAGCACAGGGTCCTGAGTTCAATCCCCAGTACTACAAAATAAATAGATAAATAAATAAAATTTATTTTTTTAAAAAAAGGAGGGGACAGAGGCTAGCTATTTGCAAGAGCTGCTGCTCCTCACTTCGGTCTTCACTCTGCCGCTGCCATGAATGGCTGCCCTCTGCCACATGCCACTCTGCCTTGGAGCCAGCCAAGTATGGACTGAAACCTCCACTAACTGTGAGCCAAATAAACCTCTCCTTCCTTCATTTTGGGCATCAGGTATTTTGTCCCAGCAACAAGAGTAAAGTAACCAGGACAGGACCTTCCATAGTGAACTTGGACCAGCCTGTGTTGAGATGGCAAACATCTGACCCAGCCAGCTTGGATTTCTGGGGTGCCTAAGGGACAAGGGACATGTCTGTGTGACAGCATACACATGGATTTATGCACACACATTTGAGAGATGATTTCTGAATTTGAAATGTGCAAGAACCCACAAATTCTTGGTCAAAGGGCTACGGAAGGAAGGGGGTGGTGTGATGTCACAGCAGAGCAATAACATGAAGTGCAGAAAGAAAACCACATTGTTAAGTTAAAGGACCAGTAGTTAAAGGGGTAACGAGGACAGAGAAGCCATGGTACCCAAAGGGAGCCTTGTTTGTCTTCCACTTTGTATGAATTCCCATCCTCCCATTCCATGCACACAGAATTTTCCCCATATGGATTTGTGAAAGGAAAAACAACCATCCCAACCATGGGCCACTTAAAAGGAGGATTCAATCCTTGGACCTGCTGTGCTGGTCCTGCCCCTGGGGCACACTGAGACAGCAGTGGAGACTGGGCGTGGTGGTGCGTGCCTGTAATCCCAGCTCATGGGAGCCTGTAAACAGGCGGATCACTTCAAGTCCGATCTAGTAGTGAGACCCTGAACACCCTGTAGACCCTTCTCTAAAAATACAAAATAATAATGATAATAATAATAATAATAATAATAATAATTTTACCAAGACCTGGATGGCCTGTTTTCCTATTTTCTGCATCATTCATCTATTTGTTTTACAGACGCAAAAATGTGCGATTTTCCTCCAAAGGATTTTCAATGTGGGTTTCTGTCACAAACCGTCTCGGAGGGAAAATTCTCCCATCTGCATGTGGCCAGAATAGAAGATTATCAATTAAAAGTGGGTTTCTCCACCTGTCAATGACATCATATGCTTGGGGGGAAGACCGCTGAGATCTGACCCCCTGCTCCTTTCTAGGATGATTGCTTTTTCTCTTGGTGTTTTAGACTTTCGGTTTGTGAAGCTCTTAATTTTTTTCAGGATGTCTAGAACTGGGCTTTTCTTTTGCTCTCTGTGGAGTATGCTGCAAGCCCATTGAAACGAAAAACGGCTCAGTTCCTTAATTCTGGGGAAGTTATCTTTATCACTTTTTCACATACTTCCTGTTCTCAGTTTTTGTCCTTTTCTGGGGACTTTTCTGGAAGTTGGTAGCTTCCGTCCTTCCTAGGCTTTAGCTCTCTTTGTATATTTTATCTCTATCTTGTTGTACTCTCCTTTAGGAAAATTCTCATAAGTTTGTCTCCACTTTACCACCTCATTCTACAGCTTCCTTACCTTATTTGTCTCACGTAGTGGGCCTTTTTTTTTTTTTTTTTTTCAGTTACATTCTTTTACTACCTCATATTTCCACTGGGTTCTTTCATAATTTCTTTTTCTTGCTTAATATTGCTAATCAATTCTCTTCTCTGATATATTCTCTATCTTTGCTTTGGGTCGTATGTCATGTGCAGCTTTGATCTCTCTTTCATTACGATTTTTCTCCTCAAGCACTGAGTTTTTCCATTTTGTGAGCTCCAGGATTGAAGCAGAGACATCTGCTCTGTGGGTCTCCGCACGGGCCGGGAGGCTCCAGAGGGGGCATCAGACCCCAACCTGCAGAAGCACAACCCCAGAATCACACCCCCTTACAGAATATTTATCCTGCTCAGGATTCACTTCTACTTTCAGAGAAAAGAGATAGTTTGTTGCCAGTTTCTACATCCACAGTTCTGTCTCCCTTCTACAGTTTCTTCAGGGTTGGTTTCTTCAACCATATTAATTGGACAACTAGCCAGAAGTGCAGCTTCTAAATACACAATTAATTCATTGCAACTGAGAAGCAAATTAGAATCAGAGTAACTTACCTGTGAAGCAGAGAAGAGCCACCTTGTTGGGTCTCTCTGAGTAGCCCTACCATCTGCACCACTAAGTCTCCAGTAGCCCGCCATCTGACCCACAGAAATACATTTTCACAACACAGGTGGGTGTCCACAGCCCCTGACCTGGGTGACCGCATCCACATCTGTCTGAAGGTTCTGCCCAACTTGGGAGCTGACCCAAAATGACCAGAGATATTTGATTGGGAAGGTCAGAACATGCGCCTCGCAGGAAGGAGGAAGGGAGGGTGGGGATCAGCAACCCTTGGACGCCACTGCGAAGAGTGGATTGGACGCTGCTGCTGTAGCTGTACTTGACCCACTGGGTGAACACAGGATCCAGACCTGCAGGTCACACAGCACAGCAGGCTGTAACAATAGCGCCTTTGCTGACGTGTACTAAGAAGTGTCCTCAGTATGTCCTTCCTCTCAGAAGCAGAACCACTTCCTCCCCAACAAGAGCTCACACTTGGGGCAGGGCCACTAGCTCCGCTGTCTTAGCACCTGCCTGGCAAGCAAAAGTCCCAAGTTCGATCCCTGGTACTACATGCCGTGCTGGCCCTGGAACCTCAGACACACCAAGCTGGCCCAGAAACCGGTTGCGGTAGTGCACACCTATAATCCCCGTGCTGAGGAGGTTGAAACAGGAGGATCACTGCAAGTTCGGGCTGTGTTGTGAGATCCTGTACCAAATGAGTAAATAAATTTTTTTTTTAAAAAAAGCCCACAGTCTGGCCAGGGAGATAGCTCACTGTAATAAGTGCTTGCCTGGCAAGTGCAAGGTCATGAGTTCAATCTGTGGTAGGGCAAAAATAAAATAAATAAAACAAAATAAAAAATAAAAATAAAAATAAATATTTGAGCCAGGGAGATAGCTCAGTAGAATAAGCACTTGCCTGGCAAGCGCAAGGTCCTGAGTTCAATCTCCAGTACCACAAAGAAAAAAATTAAAATTAAAAAAACAAAATAAATGTTTTAGGGCTGGCCAAATAGCTCAGTGGATTAAAGCGCCTGCAAGCAGGCACAGGAGCCAGGTGTTTGATCCCTGGACCTTCCATGCTGGCCCCGCCCCTAGGGCTCACTGTCACACTGAGACAGCAATTGAGACTGGGCATGTTCGCCACTCTTGTAATCCCAGCTCCTGGGAGGCTGTAAACAGGCGAAAGGTGGTTAGATTATGAGGGTCAGATCGTTGACCTCGCTCTCGCTCTCTTCCCCCCACCCTCCCTCCCACCCCACTGTGATGCAAGCAGCCATTCCTCCACCACGCCTTTGCACTACACTGCTCTGCCTGGGAGCCAGCCGGCCAGATGCCGCTGCAACCTGAGCCAAGATAAACCTCCCATACCCTAAGTCACAAGTGTTGGGTCTTCTGTCTCACCGACAGGAAAACAAGGACAGCGTGTGAGGCCGAGGCTGACTGCATGAGTAAGCCTGGGAAGAGGCCCTGCGCACACTCAAGGCCAGCAAACGCCCTTCCGCCCTGTCTCCTTGAAGAGCTCATGATTATAATTCTCAAAACTGCGTTAGGATCAGAAGGAGTAACCTGCAGATTTCAAGGTTCCTGACCCTGAATGTAGATCCGGATGGGAGCGGGCCAGCGGGCACCGTTCCTCCTGCGCAGCGCATCATCATCACTTGCAAGCTTGGGCTAGGAACGGTCCCTTCCTGAGGCTCAGCGTGCTATAACTGTGCTTATTTATTTATTTATTTATTTACTTATTGTGTTTTAGGGAAGGGTCTACAGGATGTTCAGGGTCTCATTACTAGCTTGGACTCATAGTGATCTGCCTGTTTAGAGTCTCCCAAGAGCTGGGATTGCAGGCCAGCGCCACCACGCCCAGTCTCTATTGCCCTCTCAGCACACCCCGGGGGCAAGGCCAGCATGGCAGGCCTGGGGATTGAACGCTTGCCTCCTGCAACTGCTTGCAGGCGCTTTAATCTGCTGACCTGTTGGGTCAGCCCTTACAGTTCTTTTAGAGCTGTCACTAACACACGAGACAGCGGTGAGGGAGTAGGTAATAACAGCTACCACAGCTCAGGGTTTACTATAGCAAACTACTGTTCTAAGTTATTTGCACCATTTATTTAGGCCCATCAACAAATAAAGACATCAAAGATGATAAATAAATAAAGCAAGCAAGCAATGGAATGGTGGGTGAACGGGCGGGTGGGTAGGGGTTAGCACACCAGGTGGAAACACAGAAATTCCAAGCTTCTGATGGCGCATGCCTGTGATCCTAGCACGCTGGGAGGCTGAGGCAGGAGAAGACATGAGTGCAAAGCTGGACTGGGCTACACAATCAGTTCAAGGCCAGCCTGAACTAAAAAGCAAGGTGTTAACTCCAAAAAAATAAGTTGAATAAATAAAATAAAAATAAAACAGGGCTGGGGGTATAGCTCAGTGCAAAGGCCCAGGGTTCACGTCTCACTGCCACAAAAACAAGAATTAAAAGCTTCGTCTAGAGTCTGTTGCTTTGCCACACACGGCACCACAAACTAGTGAAGAAACGCACCAACAGGACTAAGTACTAGTTCTCTGGCCGGGAAACGTCGGAGTTGTTAGAGTGGCCGCCGCCAGCGGCTCCTGGGTGAGCTGCTAAGGGTGCAAACAGGGCCCAGTGAGTCCGCAGACCTCACCGCTCCTGGGTGAGGCGGACCCCACCGCTCACTGTTAGGAATGAATCTTCACTTCCGGTCAGCCTCAGCGAGGGTGGCTGCGAGGGCAGCGCCTGCTGGTTGCAGCCGGACTAAGGAAACCCAGCAGCCAGCTGTGAGCTCCCCTTAGACAGGCTGCTGGGAGCAGAAGCTCTTCCTTCCTGGTCCTCGCGACGACGACGTTCATTCAGGGGAGGACAGTGATCATCATCGGCCCTTTACAGACCTGGGCAGGTTGGCATAGAGATCTGAAGTAACCGCCCGATGTCAAACTAGGATTCCGACGTGGGGGGTGAGACCCCACGCTCCTACCACCTCTTCTCGGCCAGTGAGCACGGCTGTAAAGCCAATCATTAATATGTGTTGTTCATTTAAAATAATCTAAGTCATTAAAATTATACAATGATTTTAATTTCATTGACATGCACATGTAGTTCAAGGAGTACTATGCAAGGGACTATAGCTACTTCAGCATTCAGTGTAACTTTGTACATTGCTTTTTTTTTTTTTTTTTTTAATCTTTTTTGTCTTTTTGAGACGGCCTTGCGATGCTGTTCAGGCCAACCTTGAGCTTAGGCTGGTCTCAAACTCCAAGGATCCTCCTGCTTCGGCTTCCGGAGTGCTGGGATTACAGACATGTGCCACCACGTCTGGCTTGTACACTGCTTTGTAAATTCACTGCTATATCTTCTTTCATAACAGGAACCACATCTGTGTCCCCACTGTCATCCGGGCAGGGCAGGAACCACCCCGAAGCTGGGGCTGGGGCCCCTCTTGGTAAAGACTCTCGCTCTCCTCGCCTCTACCCATCCTACTCTTTTTTTTTTTTTTTTTTTTTTTCACAAAGACAATCACTTAAGACCTTTATTAACAGGTGCTTGCAGTTTGTTGATGTTTTGGAAAAAAAAATCAAGTTGTAAATTTTTTTACAAATTAAAAGCAAAGTTCTTAAAAATCTCCACGTGACCAGATATGAAACAATTTAAAAACCTTTAAAAGTGTATTGAGAAAAAACAGGCTTTTTAAAAAAAAAACACACACATTTGTCATTACCAAAAAGAAATATCTTTCGGCAAAAATAATAAAAACACCGAGCTGCATAGATAAGGCAGATGGTTCTAGTTATCTGGTGAACAGGCAAAAAACAAGCGCTTAAGGTCTTCAGGTTCAATGTTTTGTTCGTTTCATATTGCTGGAATTTCCTATTCATTTCTTTCTTGCTGGATGACTAAACCGGACGACGGTAGAGAGGTTAAACCGGCATTTACTCCGAATTACTCCTCAGGAGTGATGAATTCTCAGCCGGTGGTTCAGCTGCTTTTCTCTCTTTGTCAGCTTGTGGCTTAGGGTTTTCTGGGCCTCTGTGTTGGTACTTGAAGTTGCCATGGTACCAACATTAAGGTGGCTGGTGACCTGGAGTTCCTCTACTTAACTGTCCTTACCCCTTCATCTCCATCCTCTAGGCTGTGTTTGGCGAGCAGGGTCCCTGCAGAACCATGGTCTATAACCTCAGTACACCTTCTGCCTCACTTTATTGTTCTCCTGCACCCTGGTTGTCTACACCCTCCATCACTTCTTGTGCAGAAGGGTTACAATACTATGGTCTACACCCCTAGGGTCTCTGCATGTAAGAAGGTGGAAGGGCCAGTGCTGGTGGGCCTGGCCCTCAGGAGCGCTCTCTGAGCCCTCATTCTTGTCCCCACTCTTAATATCCTGGTAATTCTGCTAGTAATTGTGTAGAGGACCTCTGCAACATGGAGAGCATGTGTAATGGCCATGGTCTGCTGCTCGTTTAATCCCTTGAGCTGGAGTTCCACCAGGGCCTGTAACATTCGCTGCATCCACACCCTTTTCTTTTTGGCCTTTAACAGCATCCAAGTCCACGTTCTCAATCTACACTGCGAAGGCCCTTCCTGGGGCTATTCTTTAGGGCAGTCTGGTGTACCAATACATCTTCCTTCAGTGTCATTCCTGTTGATGCCACCTTATCTGTTTCTCACATTGCACCATTTTGCTGTTCCCAAAACCTTCACTGTGATGACCTGCTTGTCCCCACCAGCAGACGCAGCCCGTATGAGGCCGCCGGGCCCAGCGCTCCATGTCAGCAGCGCTGAGGGCGGGGACGGCTGGGGCGCGGCAGCCGGCTGCTCCTGGTTGCAGTGGTGGTGACCCGACCAGCTGGGGCAGCTGCAGCTCCTCCAGGGGTGTGACAGTAACTAGGCCCGCGCGGTGGGGCTGCTCAGGGCTCTCTGGTCTCCGCCCCACCGCCCTACTCTTATTTTCAACAACCGGAAATTAGAAGGATGTCTCCTCATAGGATATTAATTCACTTGCTTCCTAACCCTCCTACCCTCCTTTGCATCTGACCATTCCAAATCCATCACCCGCAGCCTCCTTAAAAGTAAAGCATGGGGGAGACAGCTGCTCAGCGGCATAAGCGCCGCCTGTCTGGCAAGCTTAGGGTCGCGAGCCGGATCCCCGGTACCAAAAAGAAAAAAGTAAACCATCTCCTAGAGTTACAAAGACAGTGACACAGTGTGAGATCTAAAACCCACGTCTTCTCATATTTTAGGGGAATTTAACGTTTCAAAATAGACAACATCCGAGAAACCAGACAACTAAGATCACCCCCAAACTCTCCACGGAATGCAGGCTTTAGTTACAACTGAGCCGAACCAAGGCAATGTAGTATCATTTTCACGGGACCAGGATGAACGGATGCAAAGACAATTCCAAACAGGCCCCCAAATGGACTGCACCCCTGCCGGCGCCATTCGGGTGACAGCCCCGCCTCCCACCACCATTTCTTTCACGCTAGTTATCTTACAGCGCGTGCTGAAATACTCCGTATAACCATAGCGGAAGTGTCGCTTGCACGCACAGAGACTCTGCATAAGCGACACACACAACTTCTGATGCGCCTTGCTTCGGACTCGAAGGGCTAGAAATCTGAATAGAGGCGG